ATTTGTGTAGAACTCCAACAAAAATCAACCTAAGATGCCTGGGCCTGCTGTTCTCCTTTCCCCTGCTGTGCCCCGGGGCATGCACATCCTATGTGAAAGTAGTCGTCTCCAAGCTGTAGGCTTTTATTTTGACTTTCACTGGAAAATAACCTAGTTCTAGTCCTAGTCCTAGTTCTTTCACTCCTCTTTTCCTCCTTGGTAAGTGTTGCTGTTGTTCTTCGGTTATTGCTGGCACTTGTGACCTTGCGTTGCAGCAAACACCTGGCCCTCAGTGACCGTATGTCTAGGGACAGGTGCAGAGGCAATAAAACACATACTTGCCAACATTAAATAATACTCACATTTGCCAGTTCTTTTTGAGCATAGCATCACAATCACCTGCAGTGAAAAGGCTGGGAGTTCTTTCAGTATGAAGCAGCAGAGGCAGCTCTGCTGCCCTGTTCAGCGTGGTGAGGTGTATTTTGGTTTATGGGTGAAGTTCAGAGGTTGGTGAAATCAGAAAGGGAACTCTGCTCAGCTCCCACTTACATGTTTGAAAGGCTGTTCTGACTCCTACACTCTATCTAAATGACTAGTTAATGAGGTGATTTGTTTGTTTTACTCTGCTTAGTAAAACACAACTGTTTACAGCACCTTTAGTTACTGGTTGGTTTGTTCCCCCATTATTGCACTGGGACAGATGCTATCATGAGACAGGGACTCAGCAGCTGGGATAAAGCATGAGAGGAAGCTCTGCATCACCCTCAGGTCATCATGAGTATTTTAGCTCAGATCAGTAGCCCACCTGAAGTATGTCAAGTGGTCCTCTGGTGCTGAAGGAATGTACATTGTGGGTGGAGTTGTCTCATGCTGTGTCAAATGAGGCACAAACATCTCGGGGGCTGAAGCCTATCAGTTCTAGTGGTTTGGGAAGTAACATAACCCCCTCACTACAAGAAGGAGATTAAGGTACTGGAGCACGTCCAGAGAAAGGCAACGAAGCTGGTAAAGGGTCTGGAGCACAAGTCTTACGAGGAGCTGCTGAGGGCGCTGAGGTTGTTTAGTCTAGAGAAGAGGAGACCTTATTATCACCCTCTGCAACTCCCTGAAAGGAGTCTGTAACAAAGTGGGGGGTCAGTCTCTTCTCCCAAGTAGCAAGTGATAGGATGAGAGGAAATGGCCTCAAGTTGCACCAGAGGAGGTTTAGATTGGATATTAGGAAAAATTTCTTTACTGAAAGAGTTATCAAGCATTGGAATGGGCTGCCCAAGGAAGTGGTGCAGTCACCATCCCTGGAGGTATTTAAAAGACAAAGAGATGAGGTGCTACAGACGTGGTTTAGTGACGTGGTTTAGTGGTGGACAAGTTATAGTTGGACTTAGTGATCTTAAAGGTCATTTCCAACCAAATTGTTGTATGATAAATGGTACATTAATGGGCTTGCAATGTCAGCAATGCAGTGTGGGCTCACACACACCTGCTCACAGGTTGTAGTTTCTAGCACCATTGGGCACTGCAGCAGGAGAGAGCTTTGGGATAGGATTTGAGAGGGTAACATCATAGCCTTCCTGCTGTGATAGTGCTCTTATGAAAGCCTGGTGGGACTGGCATGGCTGATGTCTTTGTGGCATGAAGTTCAAATTGGTCTTGCAGCTGTATGGGAGTGGTGGTGGGGCTGAGCTGGGCGTGCAGAGCTGCACAAGTTTTCTCCAAATCAAAAGGAGTGGAGGAAGGAGAGCAACCCACTGTGTAGAGGGGGAGTGCATGTACGTGTACGCAGGCTGGAAGCGATGGTCTGAGAAGCTTTTTCAATATGCACACGTTACCTGGAAGACAGGATTTGTTATGGACCAGCGGAGTGGTTGTACACAACGATGACAGGAGCGTGGGAGAGAGGTTGCAGCTCTGAAGCTCACAGTTTACCTAAAACTATGATGCATGTAAGGTGGAGTTTACTTAGTCATTTTGTACATGGTCTTTGGATTGAAAAAACAACAACAGAAAAAGAAGAGTAGTTGTGGAAATTCTGTGATTTGTTTTAGGGACTCCTGGGAGTCTCAGGAGAAGTCGTGTGTATTTTAGCTCTGTACCCCTTGACATTCTGTACTGCTGCTCATCACATATTTATGATCTGCTTGAATTTACACTGGCTGGCTAGTGGGGAATCTGAACAGCTTTGCTGTGCTCAGAAGTGTGTTTTTGCATCTTTTGTCACTGCCTCTCCTCCCAGTTTGTGCGCAGTCCTCTTAGTTACTTAAATTGGTGTCTTCTCCAGATGGGGTTGGGCAGCGAAAAGGAATCGTCTTGCCTGAGCAAAGACACTTCTTCGGGTTACAAACTGGGATGATCATAAATGTTTTGTGGTGGTGCTAGGAAATTCAGGATATCTGCAGGTACGTGGGCTTTGTTTTTGAAACAGTGTGTGAAATGGTGACAAACAGATCTATTTTTTCCTCATTCTATTATTAGAGGGATAGTGTTAATTAGTGTAGTGATTGCTAAAGGCACATTTTACCTTTTCACTAAGGGGTGCTTAGGTCCTGCTGTGAAAAATAAGCTGTAAATATTGCAAGTAGTAGTGTGCTGAGGATCTGTTTAGTTTAGGATAAACAGATTTCATTGTTTAAAATTACAGAATAACAATATTTAGCATGGATGTTAAAGTTGCAAACTAAAGATGCAACCTCTGTATGTGTATTTTAACTTCATTCTTCATTTCTCAGTATCTGGTATTTATTTTTGGACTTTGATGTTTCTGATATATGTTTAACATTCACGTTTTAATCACCTATGTGCCAGTGGTTGCAGTTTTTAAAAAAAATGGTTTTGAAGTGGTGGTTTCACTGAACAAATCATGCAAGGATCCTGTCCCAAAGTTGTCTCCTGCCAGATCACAGAATCACAGAGTGTTCTGGGTTGGAAGGGACCTTGAAGATCATCCAGTCCAACCCCCTAGCCCCAACTCTCTCAGCTGGTCCTCGCAGGGGAGGCGCTCCAGCCCTCTGATCATCTTTGTGGCCTTAGTGACCCGCTCCAGCAGCTCAATGTCCTCCTTATACTGGGGGCCCCAGTACTGCAGGTGGGGTTTCACGAGAGTGAGATCATCAGCAGTGAAGTTTGGGTGTGTTGCTCAGCAGATCCATGGTCCACCCTCCTGTTTGGACTGCAGCAGTGATTAGTGCTGCTTCTGTGTCTGCGGTGCTGGAGGAGCACTGCACATGCATCATCCCTGTGGGTTGTACTGCTGTTGAGCACTTAGCTGTAGTATTTATTTCTGTATCCTTATATATTTTTCATTCTTGGATAGAAGTGTTTGTGGATTTTTTTTTTCTTGTGATGTTAGCAAAGATAAAACCAAATTGACTTTAAAAAGAACAAATAAGAACAATGCAGTTCATTATGTTCCAGACCTGGATTTTGGATTTGCACCATGCTTTTGCATGCTTTGGATGAGGTGTCTACTAAAATAATAAATAGGGCTGGAATGGCTAGTTTAGCAAAACCTGGTAATTACATTTTATGCACAGGGATTACTACAGTATGCAACCTGTGCATTAAGAACAGCATCAGTACAGAATTCTGCCGTTCGTTTACCAGCTAAAGCTGGCTACAGTTTTAATGTAGAGTGGGATTGAAGCTAGATTTTTCCCATAAGAAGTGGGAAGAGAGATAAAACAAATTCTCTGTTATGGAGCAGGCATGTGGCTATGTTAAAATGAGTGGTGTTATTATTGTGTCAACCTTATCAAGTGACCATGTTGATTTATATAGTTCCTCTTCTCGATAATTTTTGACTCTGTGTCAGGTGTCACTTGTTCTACCGAGTCCTGAACACTTACCCAAAAGTATATATGGTTGATAACTTATAAGATAGGCACAGTGTAAGTAAAATGTGCATGGATAATTAGAATTGGTATGGTCTGTGGTTAAAGTGAGCTAAGTAAAAGGTTGAAACTCTGCTGGGAGAGAATTCTGTTATTGGAAATAATGGAAAAATGTTGAAGTTTTACCCTGTGTTTTCTGTGGACTGTTTGTAATAGTTTTAGGGCACAAAGACACATTTAAAAGTAGGACTTCAATATTAATTTAATATGATTATCAACAAAAGAAATCAAAGTGTACAAATGTTACACAAGACTAGATTATCACAGAATGATTTTGCATTTTTAATGGACTTTACTCTCTTCAGGTACTTTCCAAATATTTAACTGTGGTAAAGAATCAGCAGAAAATTAAATACTAAAAAAAATACTGCAATGCAGAACATTGACAGGGCAACACTTAAGTTGTTAATGCTTCAGAAAAGCTGAGGCAGTTGCAGAAAATTCAACAGATTGGCAAGTACAAGTATTTCATGGTTTGATCCACTCCAGTGTAAGAATGCAAAGCCCATTAATGCTCAACCACTTTTTCCTCACTGTAATAATGGATCTTTTGTTAAAAGTATAAGTCCCTGCATGGTTTTGGGGTTCAGTGCTCGCTGTTGAAGCATTCATGGCATTATAAGATTGGAGGAATTACCTGGAAAGCAACAGATACTATATACTTCGTTAGTTTCCAGGAAAAAAATAAACTGGAATAATAAAAAAAACCAAAACCAAAGCACAAAACCTATCATCCTTAAATAAGGGCTTTTGATTTGGGTAAAAGTGTTGTCTTCTTCAAACTAGATGCTAGGTAGATTGTGTCTCTTGCATATCAGATGCTTATATTCACCTTTAGATCAGTCTCTCTTGATGAACTGAAAGCCCTTGTGGTTATAAAAGCTTTTTCCCCACAGCTGGATAACCTATCTGTAATATTGTCTGGACATCTTAGCTAACAAGAAAACTCGCACGTGAGAGAGAGGGTTACATTACCCACTCTGTCTTTTGCCTGACACGGGGTTACATCTTTCAGTCGCTGATGATCATCTCAGTTTTAGGAGTGATCTTGGGTCAGGATTTTTAAAATGCTTTACCTTGTATGTTGGTGCCTTAGAGCTTAAATATCCCACTCTGTGTTTTCCAGACAGAAGCAGTCTCCGCCAGCCAAGAAACCAGCAAAGATATTTCACAATGGATGTAGACGATGAAGAAAACATGAGTAAGATGTGCTTATTTACACAGTAATAAACTATGTAATCGTTTCTGAAGGTGACTTTTTCTCACGAGCACAGGGACGACTGTGAAGAAACTTCAGAAGCAGAAATTAATACAATTTCTTTGTATGTTTTAAAACACAGTATAGAAAAGTGAATGGGAGCTTTTGCATTAAAAGTGTTTTAAGTACACATGGTTATATGCTAGTCTAGTTATACCTTGTGTCTCATATTTTTCTTCCAACAACTGACTAAACAAACAAAATATTTTCCTGTTTTGTATGAGCAATGAAGAAGAGAGGAAGAATACCAATAATGCTGATGCCGAGGTTTAGGGACCAGTCAGAAGGAAGGAGTGAGACATAGGAGGTGGAGTTGCAGTGTATAAAATAAGTGAGGGAATGCAGGCATGGAGGAAGGAGAAGCAGAAGGAGGAGCTAAAAGAGCTCCCACAGGTCTTGCATGGCTGATTATTCTCATTAAATGCTGATTGTTCCAACCCTGAGCTACTGGATTATTAGAGTGTGTTTAAGCACAAAAATATGGTCAATATGGTCAAATATGGTGATCATCTTGGTGCATACACTGGTGAAGTGCTGTGAGGTTGCTAACAATCTAATAACCTGTGGAGAAAAGTGTTCTCATTAAAATGTTATAAAAATATATTTACTATTACTGGCTTTTCAACTATCTTTTTTTTTTTGTGAATGAGGGAAATATTCTATTGCTGCTCTGCTCATGTGCAGTGCCTGACTGTAAGTAATTGTATATGATACAATAACAGATGTGCTTTTTTTTCCCCTGAAGTGACGATGGCGAAATGGCGCATCTCTGGCAAAGGTGGCAAAGTTGCAGAGCTTTTTTATTGGGAGATAAGCTAGATCACTGTGTTAAAAAACCCACAAAACAAAACCAAACCCCCGAAACCCCACAAAAAAGCAAGCCTCCTCCCCCCAAAAATATTGACTAGAATGCATCTTTTTGTCTTTGTCTGAAACAGTGAGCTTTATTGGAATATGATTGCTAAAATTTTCTTTACCTTGGTATTAAAAAAAAACTACCTCAGATGGATGCTTTAGATATTTCTAAAAGTGGACTCCCTAAGGAGGACTTAAATACAGTAAAAGCTGTAATTGAATAATTCGTATAAGATTTTTTTGGACAGAACTTCCCCATATCGCAGTAAGGAGTATATCTGAGCATGAATAGAAGGTGCCTTCCTGAGCTGGGGAAAATACCGTCTCTTTACAAGGGCATTCTGTAAGTGTCTTTAAGCAAAATACTCAATTTTTGTCTGCTTCTGGGTGCTTTGTTTGTTTGTTAGTGCATCGGTGTGGGAAACCATTCGCTGAACTTTTTGTTTTGTCAGGAGGCTGGCTCTGTGGAGGTGTTAGAAGTTTGGGGTATGCATTTGTACAGTGGTAGTTGTCTCCCAGAAGTGTGTTTTGAGATGTTGTCTGTACCGTGTTTTTGATAGGAAGATACGGATAACAATGTCTACTTGCCCAGTTAATAGAAGGTGCAGGAAGACCTTCCGGTCTCTGTGTGAAATGTTAAATCATCATATTTGGTGGCAGAAATCAACATTCAGTTTCTCAAGTTCTTCGCCTTTTTTTGATTTGTGCAAAGATTTTTTTGAATTTTTTTAATAATTCTGTATTATTGTATCTATAAAGATTGTAAAGTGTGATATCAGAAGTTGCCTATTAAATTATTTATTATTTTATGTAACTCCTTTTTGGAGAAGTATCTCACTGGAAAGGAAGGTGGGAATGTGCAATATTTGTAGCTTGCAGTTGCATAACTAGAATTGCTTTGTGGAAGCCAGAATTAAAATTCAGCTGAAATGTGAGATAGTGATGAGGTTACATTAACGTCCTTGATAAAATACAGTATTTCAAAAATTTTACAATATAAATATTTACGGTATTTTCCCTGATAAAATACAACGTGCCTGTTATCTCAGGGTCAAATCAGAGAGCCCAGCAGAAGCATCGACATGATAGAAAGAAATAAATTGCTAGGTATAAATTCACCCTGTTACCTATCCTTATCCATTACCTTATGAGCAAGCGAGAAGTGGGGCATTTTGCAGAACACCTGGGACACTAACATGTCCTGGCCTTTCTCTTTGATAATTTTCCCCATTTTTCTAAAAAGATGCTCAGAAGAGATCACATGTTTTTTTCTGCCTTTTATGAAAAAATGGCTTAGAATTTCCCCAGGCCAGTAGATGAGAGCAGCAGTATAAGGGGTAGCTTGAAACAGCATTCGGTTCAGCTAAGTCATCTACATTTAATTATGTGTGCTCCAGATCAGACAGAGCAGGGAGAGTGTTGGCTTTTAGCAAGCAGGTAATGGAAGATCCCTGATGGACAAAGCATTTTAATTACAGACATTTTTTAATTACAGGGAATAAAACCAAAAATAAACCAATACACTTGAACAGAAGATTTCTTTCTTTACTGGCATAAAAATTTACCATACCTCTGTCCTTCTTCGAGTGCTATTGGGTTTGTAAGCCTCTCAAGCAAGATTTCAGGGGTAGGGCTTTTCTTCCACTGAAGTTGCTGGTATGTGATACTGTCACCTGTGTTTTTTACCAAGGCAGCTTCCACAGATGTCAGTCAAAGCTCTAGTCAAAGCTGCCAGCAATTTTTAGTGACTAGAAAATAAGGTACTCTTCGGGAAAAGGTCTTAATCTTAAATTATGGGTAGTAATAATGTTTTAAGAAAACAGGATCCCATCATCAAGTGTTTTTATCCTTATTAATGCTGCTTTAAACCGCTGAATACACAGCAGCCATGACAGACCTTATTCCTTTAAAACTTATTTAAGGACTGGAAAATGTGTAGACTTGAAAGTATATTTAAAATCTAGGATTAGATTATTTTGAAACCGCTTGATTTTGGGCTATTTTATGAGATCTACCAAGACTGTGTAACCTTTCTGGGGCAAGATCTATGACGTTGACATATGGTCACTTGTCAACCACAATAAAAGTTTAATAAAAAAGAAAAAAGGATAATGAAGAGCATCCATTACTGAACACAGAGATTTCTTTCTTTATAATTTAGGTGTTGTTTTTTTCTTCCCCTGCCAGCTCTCTTCAATGCTTTATATTTCTAAGAGTGGTTTAACATTCACAGTTCTCATTTTTCTGCCTTATTTTAGCTGTGACACTGGCAGCACAAAGCTTAATAATGCTGATAGACTTTGAAATTATATAAACTGGGTTTTTTTAGAACAGGTATAGAGTGGTGGTTCACATCTGCTGTGATCTGTCCTTTAGAGAAACAAAATTTTGCTCCTTTTGAGTATTGATGCTCCCAGCTTGAGCTGTGGTGGGATCCTGAATCAACCAGGGCTTTTGGAGAGTGATGATGCCCTCCTTCATTCTGTATTTGGAATGATTGAGAGGCTCCCCAAAGTCTTAGTCTTTAAAACAGCATATTACCAGAATAAAAAAAGACTGACAAATAGAGCAAGAGGAGCAAATGCAAAGTGCATCCAGCTGTGGTACCTCTCCTCCTGTGTCAGAAAGCATGCAGGGGAAATAGGGAGCTGCTCTGTGAAGAGAAGGGTGACCTCAGGACAACGAGCACTTAGAGCCCTGCGGTGTAGAGGAGAGATGATGAGGTTGAAATATGAGAGATCTCTAAAATCATGTGCAGCTCAGGGTGTTTAATATCAGAATCATCAAACTGAAAAAATAGCAAATAAAACCCAGTAGATGCATCGAGACTGGCAGATGAGGATTCAATGCAAACAGTGGGAGATGTTTTCATGCAATGTGTAGTGAAACTGAGAAACGCATTGCCCAGGACTTTGTGGATACCAAGGGTTTATGGAGTCTTGAAAAGCAATTAGAAACATTTCTGGGGAAAAAACCCCATCAGTGGCTGCCTGCCAGGCTCTCTGGGACAGCCCAGAGCTGCGGCTCGCTGCAGGCTGAGAGGTTGCCCTGAGGAAGTGCCTCTGTGATGTGTTACTCCATGTCTGAATATGGACAAGATTAAATGAGATTACTTCTCTGACTTTAACAGGTGGTGATAGCTAATCTTACTTTTTGACTAATGTGTCAGATCTTCTCCAGCCCTAAGGTAGTTAGAGAACCTCACCACTGCTGGGCAGAACAGGCTAAAGAGAAGGACTGAAAGCACATCTTCACCTTCAGCCTGAGAAGCAGTTGCTCTTTCTTGCAGTCCAGTGACTCTGAGGACAAGCCTGGGTCTGGTTTGCACGGAAAGTCTTTTTATTTCCAGGCAAGGCCTGGATTTCGATCACCTCCACGATGCAGAAAAATGTGTACTTTCATGGTCTCCAGGTTTGACGCAGGCTGCTAGCTCCCTGCCTGCTTTCTCTCCTAGTTTTGTCCACCCTGCAGGTTCTCCCAAGCTAACAAGCCTAGTAGCTCTCAGGCAAGGAGTAGTTTTCTTCCTTTCTTTCTCATTGAGACAAGGTAAGCGTGCAAGTTTATTTCTGGATTCCTTCAAGTGCCCCCACTCTGTCAGGGCACCATTTCCCCTACCCATGTAATGAGGTGGATTAAGGAGATCCTCCAGCTCCCGTACTTACATGCAAAAGTTTGGGTTTTTTACATTCAGTTGGAGTCTATTCAACTTGTGTTTTCCTTCTGTGGTTCCATAGGCACTGGTAGCAGTCTTATAAAGGGAAAGGTAAAACCAGAGGCTATTAATTAGTGTTCACCGAATTATTTCAGTTTAGCCTGAAAGTCATATTGGTTGATAGCAAATTCTTGATGCCACTAGTAAGAGCAGTATTCCACAAATGGTGTTTCAGATGATGTATTTTTTTGGAGTTTCAGGTAAGAAACTCACAGTAAGGGAAGATTTTAAAATTCATTCTGTTGTTCTTAGATTCCTTTGCTGTATATATATATATATAAAGAATATATGTGCATGAGCACTATGGATTGACAGTTGTGGCCCTATAGCACATGTTCTGCAAGCAGTGTAATTTGTGACTGAACATGACAAGAGATACTTTATTAAATTTAGCAGATTTCTAGCAATTAAACACTTCAGAATATTTAGTGTGTGATTCTTGATTGAATTTAATTGACTGGAATTTAGTATTCAGTATTGTACAATTCTTGGTTGTGCTACCGTGATTTAACAAAGTGTATTCCTGCTTTGGCTTTTTTCTTGTGATCTTTTTTTTTTCTTCTTTTTTTTCTCTTTGAGCACCGAAAGGAGTAACCTATCGAGCTTTTGCTGGAGGATGTTATAAATGAAAATTTAGTAACCATTCCATCAGCTTTGTAACCTGGGCGAAGTGATGTGTGTGTGGTAGGGGATTCTTAGGGAAGACTTAAAAGTGTCATTGAAATTTGTCACTGTGAAAGAGGGCTTCCACCTTGGTTTGCTCTCATTTCAATTAATATTTGATATAATAGATGTAGATGTAATGGAAATATTTTGAAGTTTTAAAACAGAAGAGTTAAAAATACTTGACCTACTAAAGTTGCCTCTTCATTCGTAAATATCAATATAAAGCACAAATAATTAATTTCTGTAGTTTCTTTGTCAGGGTGAAAATGAGGTCTTTGCAGTTATAGCAAATATAATTCTTTAAATATATCTCTGACATATCATTACTCCAACTTTCTACTTTAGAAAATAAGTCATTAAATTAATATTACAGTGCCTTTTTTTCCCCCATTAAAATGTCATCATTGTGATTGCACAGCTTTTGTCTTGTATTCTGCATAGTCTTAAGAGAGAATCCTTATCATGATTTTTGGGTTTGTAACTGAGTTTTCTTACTTTGCAAGAAATTACAAAACAGCTTATAAATGACAAATACGAGTTTCTTAATAGAAGGCTGTGTGGAAGTACATGAAGTAGTCTTGTGGTCATGCTGGCACACGGGCAGCTGTAGTTCCTGAGCAAATTGGGTGAGGTGAAATGAAAGTCTAGGAAAAGCATAAAAAAGATCTAAATTTGGAGAATATGGAGTAGCTAAAGAGAAGCAAAAACATTCATACACTCTTCAGTCAAGAAACTGAAGTCAAAGAGCTTCCTAATTTTCCATGGTTCAGGTTTTAAGTCATTTCTCAATTTGAGCAACTAAAATCACTGAGAAAATAAAAAAGTAACATGAATAAAATAAGCATAAAGTAGAATTAAATATCCATCTCCTAGCACTTGGTCTTAAGAATCCATTTTTATTTTACTAATGGTAGTTCTTTGTTTTGTAGGCGTATGCTACTATAACTTACATTTCTGGTTTAAAGCATTTTTTAGGCCAAACATAAAATTATGAATAAAAGTTTTGTTCCAGTGATTTAAATGAAAAAAAAAAATAAAGAAGAAAAAGAAAAAAAGCTGCAGTATTTTATTGCTATATGATTGTATCAAATGCGTAATTTGAAAATCATTCTTGAATGTGTTACTTCTTGAATTATCAAGAGGTTGTATTGCATTATTTCTGATCATTTTGCAAAACATTTAACGTGTGAGCACACATCACTTAACCAGTTACAAAGAGAGATAAAGGAATCTATAAATTTTGCATTTACAAGGTCCTGCAACGAAGGCATTGTAAGTTACTCTTTCTGGGCACCGCAGGTTCGAGCAGCACCGATGTTAAAGAAAACCGCAACGTGGACAACGTCCCCCCCAAGGACGGTGTTGGGCAAGGCGCTGGGGAGGGGGCGCAGCTCTCCAACGGCGGTGGCAGCAGCAGCAGAAAGCGTCCTTTGGAGGAGGGCAACAATGGCCACTCCAAATTTCGCCCAAAGAAGAGGAAGAAAACACCCGGCCCTGTTCTGCCAAAGAATGCCCTGATGCAACTTAATGAGATTAAACCCGGTTTACAGTACAAACTCCTCTCCCAGACAGGGCCAGTCCATGCCCCCATGTTCGTGATGGCAGTCGAAGTCAATGGACAGGTATTTGAGGGGTCTGGCCCAACGAAAAAGAAAGCCAAGCTTCATGCTGCCGAGAAAGCTCTGCGATCTTTCGTCCAGTTTCCAAATGCCTCGGAAGCCCACTTGGCAATGGGGAGGACTCTGTCGGTCAACACGGACTTCACTTCTGACCAAGCGGACTTCCCTGACACCCTTTTCAATGGGTTTGAGACACCGGTCCCTTCTGATGCTTCCTTTTATCTAGGGTCCAACGGGGATGGGTCCTTTAGCTCTAGCGGAGACTACGGTTTGACATCGTCTGCTGTAGCCAGCAGCCTTTCCCAGTCACCTCTCCCTGCACCGCCACCCTACCCCTCCGCCAGCGGGAAGAACCCCGTCATGATCCTCAATGAGCTGCGACCGGGGCTGAAGTATGAGTTTCTCTCAGAGAGCGGGGAGAGCCACGCCAAAAACTTTGTCATGGCCGTGGCAGTGGACGGTCAGACTTTTGAAGGCTCGGGAAGGAATAAAAAGCTGGCAAAAGCTCGAGCCGCTCAGTCAGCCCTGGCTTCCTTGTTTAACATGCAGCTGGACCAGACCCCATCTCGACAGCCCATTCCCAGCGAGGGGCTCCAGTTACACTTGCCACAGGTGAGAAGCACTTTGGGTTTTGTTGATGTCTTTAGGTAATGACCATGAGCAGCCAAGTCACTTGTATTGAGTCAGCTGGGACAGCATTTCTGCTCTTTATTCTGCTTCTGTAGATGTGTATGTGCATATATAGATACAGTTTCTATATATGTGTATATATGCATATTGGGTGATTTATCCACTTACGGCTTCTGACAATTGCATGAACTCTTTGTAGTTTGTTGGATGGAGAGGAGGCTTTGTTGCTGATGCTTTCAACCTTGATCATGTCACCGAAGAGAACAGCAAGCCCAGTGCAGTGCCAGCTTGGATTATGGTTTGTGCTCAGGAAAAGTTGAATTGTGTCTTCATCTTAGGCTGCAAGACTTAGATGGAGTTCGAGTCAGAATTACTGCTTTAAGTAAAATTATTATTTGATCCAACAGTTTTAAGCAGAGAAGAAAATTGTTCACTTCTGCAAAATGAAACTGTTTGCATTAACACAGCTGAATGTTGGAAGTCAAGAACAGGTTAAGTGAGGCTAATGCAGTTGCCACATATTGTAAGGCTCTAAACAAATGACACATTTGCGGTGCACATCTCCAGGACGTGTGGTTAAATAGCTGTCATCTAAAGGATTGTGCTCTAATCAAATTAGTTAGTAAGTATATGTAAGTTACTTAGGCAAGTAAGTCTGGATAAGAAATAGTTCAAATAATTAATGTACTAAAGAAAATATCAAACATACCAGACATCAGAGACGAGAAGTTTAAAATAGCTAGAATGGCGTAATTTTATTTTTTTTTTCCTCCTTATTTGCTTGCTTGTGTTTCTCCCCAGTCAAATTACAGTAACGATTGTTCAGGTACTCCATTTCTACTGCAACTCTTGGGTCTTTTTAATGATATTATATGCCTGTCTAAGTTCAAAGACTTACTTGTGACTTTCTGTCTGTTTATTAAGAGAAATTCAAAGCTTTGACCTTTCCTATCTTAAAAACATTGGTTTAAATTTCATTAAAATTATAAGATACTGATCTGATTTGATAATGTAAGATTGAAGAGTATAAGTAGATATTGTGACTATTTTAATTATCTTGTTTTTTCAAACACTTTGCATTGTTTTTAAATTCGTATATGCTTTCTTTTTTATGGTTATTGGTATTCACCAATTATTGCACTATCGGTGAATGTTTCCTTCATTTTCAAATCTAGGATCATGCTATTTCGGGGAGTTACAATTTCTTCAGCAGATTCAGTGATTTCAGACAGCATTCTCTGTCCTTTAAAAGTATACTTGGCCCCAGACACCAAAAAAATTGGTGTCAGTAGTTTGTGTGATGTTAGTTCTTGAATCGGTAAAATAGTGAACATTGGAACTGGAAACGGGAAGCAGGAAAGCGCACACGGGGAGACTCAGAAGAGGTGTCATTCCAAGTGCGTAAAGTCGTTTCTCAGCCCAGTGTACAACAGCTTACACAGCCTTTTTTCTTTAAGGGACTTCGCTGGACTGCTGAACAGTGCTGGGTTTTTCTGAGCTCCTTGTCTAGGTCGCTGTCCCAAAACATATGGGATGATCAGGGCATTCAAGCCTAGGGCTACAGTGGATGCCATCCTCCTTTCTGCACTTCGCTGTGTTGTATTACCCTGCTTTTAATTATAATTAGCTGTCAAGTTATTGGAATTACATCAACATCCGTTACATATTCATGATTTTGGTCTGGTATCCATTAATGATTAATAAGGGATTTAAGCACTTACGATGTTTTCAGGTTCTGCTTTATTTGTCCTTTTTTTTAACTCTTGTGAGTTGTTTTATTTTTGTACAGAGTGTTTACTCAGGATGTGTAAAGATCTTAAATTTGGAGTTAATAAAAAAATGTGGGTGAAGTCAGAAAATCTGGGTGAAGTCGCAAATATTGGAGGGTACCAGAACTGATGTAAATGAGGATAGGATTTGTTACAACCCACAGACCAAATAAAACGCTGATTGGGTTGAAAAAAAAAAAGAGAAGCTAGAAATGTGCAAGGGGAGGAGAAATCCAAATACCAAAGTCTCAGTGGAAATAATAAAAGTACAGTGTGGTTTTGCTGATGAAGACATTGGAATTGACTGCCTGGGCGGCAGGTTCATAACCTGCCCGTAGCTGATGTGCTAATTCGTGGTGCCTTGTGAGAACAAGCGATAGAGCAGAAAGCGTTGTGAGGAGAGAAGAGGTGGTGCCTGAAATCCAGGGCTGTCATCACACACCTGCAGGCTTGCCAGGGGATATTAAATGCAGAAATACAGGTGCAAGCTATCAGATGGTACAGAAGGACAGCTGACATCAGAAATCAGCTTATAACATGGGTGTAGGTATAATCTTACTTGTAGAGTGGGTTAGCAAGGTACTGGTGCCGTGGTTTTAGTATATATAAAACCAGTCTCTGCAAAGCAAGCTTATCTGCTTGCTCACAGCTTGACCTTTTGTGAGGGATGAAGCAGCATTGCCTCCAGTGAGGAAAATCTCTGTGCTGGGAAAGGGAGTTAAAGCCAGTAAGTCACTCAACATGTGCTTCAGAGTGAATGAAAATGCCCTGCTGAAAAAATCAGCCCTATTGCATTTATTACCCTGGCAGCCAGTGTGTTAAAATGGAAGAGGCTGTCAGTCTTGCTTTTTGAGGTCTTGCCTCTCCAAAACAAAGTAAGTATTTTTATGGTTAGCTATACCCTGTCAATTGGTAGCTATCCTCACTTTATTTCCCACCCCTCGATGCAAGAAAGTACCCTCTGTTCTGCAGTGAGCCACAGGATGTACCAAGGGCTCTAAAATGTGTCCTTCAAGTTTTCTTCTTTTCCGTGGAAGAAAATGGCTTGTTTCAGCATACTTAGTTTAATATCATTAAAAAGTTTAAGTGCATGGTTTGTCATAGGTCTACAGAGTTGTTAGGGGATGAGAACTGGAGAAGACAGTAAAATGTGAACAGTCTTTTAAAATAACCTCTGAAGATTAAAGGGGTTACACTTTTATGGATGAGGTATGGAAGTTGATGTGACCAGGACTGTTAGTGCGAAGTCCAAATCTGATTTCTGGGAAAAGCAGTATTGTTGGGCACTCAATCACAGCAAGAACCATGCTGGGCCAGGCAAAAGCTCCTTCTCGCACATAATCGCATCCCCAGTGCCACATCCCCAGTGCTGCATCCCCGCCAGCAGCCCCAGCACTGGGAAGTGGGAGGTTTGCAGGGGATCCTGGTGCCAGCCAGGGCTGTCTTTGCCTGTTGCTGAGCAGTGACTGGGACATCTCAGGAGATGGGACGAGGACATCCTTGGACATCTCAGGAGCAGTGGATGCTCTGTTGGACTTCCCCGTTTCCTTTAATTAAAATCAATTTTTAAAAATTCACTAAAGGAAATACTTTTAATCATTAACCTAATTGTGTTGCAAATTCAATTTATCCTGTATATCATTGTGGACAGATATTGGGACAAAACATTAAGCAGAAGAAGTGGAGTGAGAAAACCAGTACTTCAATGGCTACTTTTTCTTGAAGTGATGTGTTAATCGTGGTTCAGCCTGGGGCCGGGGGGAACTACAAAAGAAGTGTTCAATTATAGAAAAGATACACAAATTAAGGACGAAAATGACTGGAGTTCTGGGAAGGCTGCTGAGAGTACTGAAGAGCTCTGAGCAATTTATTGCAGTAGACTGCTTAGTGTATACAGGAGAATGAGAATGTCACATTCACATCTAGCAAAAAGATAATACTGAATATATTTATGAAATTAATGAATTATATGTTGGAATAATTGCTGTGGAATTGGGAGAAATGTAAAAGATACACCTGCAAGAGCAGTGAGAGACTCTACTACCAAGCAGAAGTTTCTGTAAATAAATACAGGAAACTTTGAACCACTAGAAAATAATTACCCTGTTTTATTAGTATAGGTGTGTTTCCACCTTCTCCAAATTGTATGTGTTGGTCACTGTCAGTGGAAAGCTAATGGACTTAGTTGACCTTGATTTTACCTACTGTGGGCACTGCCACTGCTCATCAGCTTGTGAAAGTTCACATAAGCTCTAAACTGTGAAGGTAAGAAGAAATAAAGCTGAGGGAGAACATGTGTGCATGAGAGGGATCACTGGAGATCCAAGGAGAGCACGAAAGACTGAGAGCTCTTGGGTCAGCTCCCCAGTGCGAGCTGGATGCTGCCAGCCAATGCAGCGCCCCTGCTCCCACTGCCTTTGGTTCCACCACATTCATCTGGGTGGTCTCTGTGGCCTGCCAGGGTCTTCCTTCAGATCCAGACAGACCTGAACTCCATCAGCTTCAGGGTATTTGAAACATGGATGGTCAGGGGGTGTTCTGCTACAACATTGCTGGAAGATATATATTAACCAAAATCAGTCTGTATATGTAGAAAAGAAGTGGACTCATTGTAACTTCATCAGAGAAAGGAACAACACACTCAAAATAGCTTTCAGCTCACATGCCTCACTGAGCAAACTGTCAGCTATTTTAGGTCTTTCCATTTTTTGAATTACCCAACTTTGAATAATGATTTAATGCAGGAGCAGGGTAGAGAAACCGTGTGTCAGATGTTAGGGCACTCACTGGGAAAGTGAGACACGAATTCAATTTCTGTTCCAATTAGTATTTATTCATATGAAAGGGAGTAGAGTCAGAATGAGAAGTGAAAGATTCCTACCGAGGCTGATCAGTGGCCTGGGCATGATGTGAAGACAGCTTCAAGTCCTTGGTTTTGAGATGGGGACAGCAAGGACGTCATTTTGGGTCAGTAAGTCTTGTTCCTGGTGCTGCATTGGTCTGTTCATAGCCTGCCTTATTCCCATCTCTTCTGTGCTCTTGGTGACTTTTAACTATGTTAACGTAATAGACCACCTGGGAGAAAAGGATGATTCTTCTAATTTGTCGGTGAGTATTCTTACAAAAGACCAAAACCTTAGTAACTAAATCTGGAGATGTTTAATAGTGTTTATTCCTCACCACCCACCTGTTGTCACACAATTTGAGTATTGAACGGAATAAAAACCACTTATATATCTGCCTGTGTTCTGGCGGTGATTTTTTCCCTCCTGCCCCCTATGGTTTCTCCTGTATTGTTTGCATCTCCAGCAGTTGTTTTGTCTCGCTTGAATTCTGCTTGGTCCTTCTTACCAGCCCTCCCCAGTGTCTGGCTTCATCTTCATTCAAGCGTTTTGAGGCTTCCTTGCCAGCAGCTTAGTTCCACTCTGCTTGAGATGCAGCCCCATCCTATCCTTCTCTGCCAGCTTACATCTTCCCAGAGGGACTCACCGTGTTCTCATTTGTATATGAACATCCCAGTTTCCTCCGCTTTGCTTATTATGTGAAAAATACAATCTTTTTTGAGAAAGCTAGTGTATCCATGCTGTATATGAGCATCCTACCCAATTGCTGTTCAAGCAACCTTTTTGTCAGTGGTATTGGCAGGTAGGCTGGCCATGGATTTCTTCCCAAAAATGCCTGGCAGTTTCAGTTCCCACCACTTGACGAGAACCTCCTTAAGCCAGCCCTGGCTTCCCCAGGGAATGGGCAATCGTGTGCCTCTGTAGATCAATCTCCATTTTGCCCAGGTAGGTTGAGGATCTGTGTAACGAGTTACCCGTTAATGATCTAAGCCTTTTGAGTATTAATTTTCCATTTCTGAAACCAGGGTGTTAATAACACTGTTGCTCATTATTTTTCTTTTGTGTATTTACCTTAAAGTTCAGTTTTCTGCATTAGGTAAGTGGTAGCACATTTAAATGCAGATTTTGTGCTGTGTGGTCATGGTGCTGTCACAGCACAGATTGTAACACAGTTTTGGGTCTAGCAGCAAAAAGACCTTGTTTGAAAATCAGTGCCTGACCAGACATGTTTGTAGCCTCTGTTCAAAATTGTGCTTCCGCAAAATTTCTCAATCTGTTGATAAGAGTTGCTGAGCTGCAATCCATTCACATGCGTCAAGAAAACTTGTGGTTGCGATGCTGTGAGTCTTCTGACTCTACAAGTTGTGCAAAACGTTGACCAAAGCTTGGTGCATATGTGGCCCCAGTCACCACTGACTGCTGGTCACTGTCTCCAGTCAGATTCTGGAAAAAGCTGTCAAGCTCTGAAATCATGACACATAAGCTTTAATTATTGCTTCTTTGGCCTCTAAAGCTTTTTCAGAAGAAAGTTAACATTGAGAGCTCCTCCGCATTATTTCTCGGCTGTCGGTTCTCATGAGCATTGTTAAGAAAATGGTGGTGAATCAGACTGGCAGTCTTCAAACCTTGTTTTTCTTTTCTTTTGACCTTGGCAGTCTGTTTTTAGAATTGATTGTGTTGAAGAGCCTGCACTGTTTAAAGTGGGTGTCCTCAAGCTCTGTATACTGCTGCCCATCAACACTGGTGATTTGCCTTGGGCCCTCCAGAGGGGTGAGAGTGGTGATCTTTTTCCGTTACTGAGAGCTCAAAGACAGTTTGTAAGCAGAAGAGACTCAACCACAAGCATCCTTTTGGGCTTGATGTAGTTGCTTACATGTGTGTTTAGCACCACGTTGGTTGCTCTTGAGTATCTAAGACATCTACATGGCACTGGCAGGTGTGACACAGGACCTGTCCTACTGGTGTGTCAACCTGTGGGCCAGGTGGTTACCTCAGAACATCTCAGATGCTGCTGGGTGCCAGCACATGGACAACTGAATCGTGCTTTTTATGCCTGATGCTCCACAATAGGAACCTGAGCTTCCTCCCTGGCTGGCTGATCCTCCTCTCTGGCTGCCGGTCCTGGTGCTGGTGGCGATGGGCAGCCTGTCTCTCCTGTCAGCCTGGGGACTGCTCGTCACCCATCTAACATGTAACTTGCCTTTCTCAGCTGCTCCCATGGGAACAACCAGTTGTGCTAGTGGTGCTATTGCATAGATTGCCCTGGTTTTCAGTTTCTTTTCAGGTGAAAATTCAACAATTTGATCTTGATTCATCTCTTGCTGTTACTGTTCCAGCTGCCTGCCAGAGCAGGTGAGATTAGCTGCAGTGTGGAACTGAACTGTGATTCAACAAGACCAGGACTGGTATTTTTAAGTTTTCCTTAATATTAGAAGTTAGCTTCCCTTCAGACTGACCGACACTGCTTGCTAACCCTGCTTGGGAAGGTACAAGGCTGTGACTGTTATTGTTCAAGTTTTTCTGAAGGTGAAAGACATAAATCCTTCCTAATTTGGAGGTAGCTTATTTTGGGTCATACATTAACATCTTATGTTCCTAAATTTGTATATGTCTTGTAAAAATAAGACGTAGAAAGTTTTTAGCCAGTGTTGTAGTAAAATTCTTTCTTATTTATCTTATAACTAGATAATTTATTCGATTGGCGTAAGAGGTTTATATGTTGGTTTGAGGAGCCTGATTTTTGCTCTTCAATCTTCTTGTCAGGTACAATGTTGAGATGCTGAAATGATATGTTTTGAGATTTGAGCATGAAAGCATAGACCTATCTGTCTATCCAGTCATTCTCCTAAGCGTCCAATGTTCGTAACAATCATGAGCATGAGGTACTTTGATGCTTGGCTTAGGGCTGTCTGACCCTATTTGAATAGACGTGGAGCACACAGAGCTCTGCTTCCGCTTAGAAATTGCTGTGAGTGCTCAGTATGCCTGAAAAATTGGACCCAGCTGCCTCCTTGAAATACTGCTGATGCCTCAATGTCCGTTTTTAAAGTCAACAATAAAAACCCCTTTAATTTATTGTGTCAAATAATTTGAAGGTGCAAATCTTTATAATCTAATGCTGCTGTAATTTTAAAATTATTTGCTTAATTTTCTAATGTGCATTTCTGTGTGATCCTACAGGTTTTAGCTGATGCTGTCGCACGCTTGGTTGTAGATAAATTCAGTGATTTGACAGAAAATTTCACGTCTCCACATGCACGTAGAAAAGTCCTTGCTGGAATTGTCATGACAACAGGTAAAGAGAAAGAAAACTACTCTTTTAACTGCCTAAATATGAGAGCTTTGTTTGCATTCTAGAAATCTAATTTTGTTCAACTAGTATTGAAATATATTTTTACTGTTTAATCTTCAAGGTGCAGTAAATGTAGCAATTAAATCTTGGCTAAAGAGAATTATAGGAGAATTAGACTTCTGTTACCACAGAGTTCCTGTCTTCTGCCTGATTGAGACATCTGAGGTAACTCATGGTATACAAAATGCATGCACTTTTTAAAATGAATCATGCAACTTTTTAAAACTATACCTAAAAAAAATTTTGCTGCATTGGTCAGACAGATGGCATTCTTGGGTTTTGGCATATTATGTAAGAAATTCTGCTTGCTTTCCAAGTTTTTAGGGTTTTGTACTTTGTTGAGTGACTCTTGCTGTTTTATTCTTAGTGCTTTGTGTCTCATATCTGAAGCAAGCAGCTTATGTTTTGCCAGCTGACACTGGTGTGCATATAAAAGCAGCAGTAATGTCCTGGTTCTCTGATCGTTGTGTGAGATCCGTGCTCTGACAGATCACCCACAACACTGAAGTTGTCCATGCTGTGTCCATGCTGCTGCTGAATTTTCCTCAGGCTAAGATTTATCTTGGTCTTCAATCCATCTGAACACTTGATGGGACATTCATTTTGAGCCTGAAATGTGGGTCATGAAATGTCCCCAATTAGTTGTACGAGTCAGGCAGGTATTGATGATAAATGTACAGCGGTGTTTCTTCTGAGTGGTCTTCATGCAATATGTGCTGTGGGCAATTTTCTTGGTTCTTCAGGTTGTATAGTAGCTTCCCTTGGTGATTTGGGCAACGCCAGCCCTTTCCTCCTGTGGGAATGGCTGTAGGGGCCTCGTCTACAAAGCAGCGATTTTGTTGCTGAGGTCTGAGTGTGCTGGTTAGGGCAGATGATAACTGCATATCTAGGGACAGGGGAATGTGACAATGTGGTCCAAACTCTGTCACAAGACATCTGTGGTGGGCTGACCATGGCTAGCACTCAAACACCCATCAAGCCTCTTGCTCGCTGCCCTTTCCTGGTGCATGGAGAGAAAATGGAAGGAGGGAGAGAAGACTCAAATATCCTCTCTTCCTTTCCCTGAGCTCTTATTGCTGAGCACAATGCTTATGGTGTGGGCTATCCCTCGGCCACTGTCCAAGCTGTGTCCCCTCCCAGTCTCTTGCCTGCCCCCAGCACACTGGCCTTTGAGAAGTTTGGAGAGAAAGCCTTGAGACTTCTCAAGCGCTGCTCAGTGACAGCCAAAGCATTGAAGTGGAATCAACACCATTTTAGCCCCAAATGCAAAGCACTATGAGGAACATGCTGTAGTTTGTTTAATATATTTTGTGATATTTAACAAGTTCTTATTGTAATTACAGTCCTGTGTCTACAGTTCCCAGAAGAGCCATGTGACCAAAGAATTAAAACTTAATTAACATGTAAATACATTTTGACTAACTTAAAAATTAGCTTTACACAGCTAGCTTTACACTAGCTTTGCATGGATGTATGTCTGGGGAGCCCCTGGAATTAGGTGACCCCATTGCAGAGCCTTGTGTTGTAGAGTGAAGTGGCTCCCTGCTTCTCCTCCATGGACAGGAGGGGACAGCTGGGCTCAGGTTTATCTTTTTTAAGGCCATGTATTTCATCGCGAGTGAGAACTCAGACAGCCCATGTCTCCATTACCTTTTTAATTACTCAATTACCAATTCCCTTGCTAATGACTAGTTAGCTGCTTATATTGGCACTGCTGTGGTACAGCCAGTTATAGGGGGATCCTCAACTCCAGGTGCTTGGGATGCACTGAAAGTGGTTTTTTTTATGCTTTTCCATACTGCAGTAACTATTCTGAGGGAGGAAGACAGCAGAAGATATTTGGCAAGGCTTGGCTGCCTTCTGCCCTTGCCGGTGAGGCCTCAAGAGCTTCAGAGGAACTTGTGTGGCTTGTTGGGACTTCTTTTGCTGTGTGTTTTGCTAGAGGGATGTGACATTTTGACCTGTCTTTCTGAATTCTTCATGCGGCTGACTTTTTGTTCTGGTGTGACAGAACAGTTCTCTATATAGAAAACACCCAAAATATTTTTTTCATTCTGTTGTATGGAATTATTTAATACCAAGAGCTACACTTCTGGAAGCATTATACTGCTGATAAGCTTTACGGTGGTTTAAACATTTAAACTTCTTCATTCTCTAGTCTTGCCTTTTCTGTTGTTGACTTAGTGTCCTTCCATGACTTGTTTTTGTTTTAATAAAGCAGTGCCTTTCAGAACTCTGAAGTCACTGTGAATATCTTCATAGGTGGCCAGAAGGTACGTGCTGGAAGCTCGCTGGCTGCCTGGGGCTCAGGGAGAAAAGCACTGTCTTAGGAGCTCAAGCTTTAATAGCTCTTTGTGAAGCAACAATTTTTTCGTGCAGGTTTTCAGATTTTAACTTGTCTGAACTCCAACATGAAGAACTCGCAAGAACCGTAGACCATACCTGGTACAAGGAAGGTATGGCTGAGGGAGGCGTTTGCTTTTTAAAGGATATAGCAGGAGAAAAAAAACATTTTCTTTTAAAAGAAATTTAAAAGAAGGAGCCTTGTTTGGGTTCTGCAGGAAGATCACTTGCTTGGTTATTTGTGATTTTAATTGCATCTTCCTTCTGGAATTTTGTTTTGCAGGTACAGATGTGAAAGATGCCTTGGTAATAAGTGTTTCTACCGGAACAAAATGCATCAATGGTGAATACATGAGTGATCGTGGTCTCGCGTTAAATGATTGCCATGCAGAAATTATATCTCGCCGGTGCCTGCTTAAATTTCTGTATACACAACTTGAGCTTTATCTAAGGTAAGCTGGAAGAAAAAAGGAAGATGAGCTGATCACATGGAGCTGGAAAGGTGTCTGTGTAAAACATCTGTCTTAATTATTGCAGTGTGAAACACTTGTCCTGCAGCGTTAGGATGTTTCATTGAGAACGCAGGCCCTTTCCCTTAGGTGTCAGTCAGGAGAGGGGAGGACAGAAAAAATAATTGTGATTCTTTTTGTAAACTGCAAATATGTAAATAAAAATAATCTCAAGTGGGCTAAAGGGTGGTGATGTTTTGTCTGCTGCTAAGTGCCTGACAGCTCTTCTCTCTGTTTCTTGTCTCAATGGTCTTTTAATTTTGTTATTTGTAATAACTGTTACATTTATGCTATAAAATTTCCAGATATCCTGTGTTTCTTTTTAATGCCTATTAAGACTGCCCAGCTTATGGTTATGTATGCGTTAATGTCAGTTTTGACTCTAGCTTTATTCTCTGTTCCAGCAATAAAGATGATCAACAAAAATCCATTTTTATCAAGTCGGAGCGAGGCGGGTTTAAACTGAAGGAGAATGTGCAGTTTCATCTCTATATCAGCACATCTCCTTGTGGCGACGCGAGGATTTTCTCACCACACGAAGCAGCACAAGAGGGTATGACAGCAGCGTTACTCAAGCAAGGGAGTTTGCAAGTATTCTTTGAGCATGTACAAGTGGCACACTTTAAAATTTAGGTGTCGTCTTTTCCTTTTAGTGTAGATGTGTGTTAGACAAAGATCTCTCCAAAAAAAATCTGAGCTGTTCTTCCTGTGTGGTAGAAGTTAACTATAGAGTGATCCACCACGTGGTCTTGAAGAAGCTGAATGCTAGCCAAGATAAGCCAGTGAGTTAGCAAGTATTTGTACAGAACTAACTGAACCGTTTCACTGTTCCCATCTTTTAATGGCGGTTGTCTGCCCACCCCTTCTTGATATGTCCATTAACTTCATTCTAACTCTGTAACGCACAGAGCACAATTGAAGAGCTACCTGCTGCGTACTGCTCCTCCACGGAAAGCTTGGTTTACTTGCAAGTGGGTTTGAGAAGGCAACATTTGTGAGAGATGTCTGATGCTGTAGCTGTTTTGCAAGGAGCATTAGAAACCATTATGCAAGCCAGGAAATACCTTCAATTGACTCTTCTTATTGTAATGCTATCTGTAAAACACACTGAGAATGTTTCTAAGCTGATTGTAAGCCATTTTTGTCATTTAGATCAAGGGGACAGGCATCCAAACCGCAAAGCGAGAGGACAGCTACGGACAAAAATAGAATCTGGGGAAGGGACCATCCCCGTGCGCTCTACTACCACCATCCAGACGTGGGATGGTGTTCTGCAAGGAGAAAGGCTACTTACCATGTCCTGCAGTGACAAGATAGCGAGGTGAGATACGGGATGATTGGTTTCTCTGCTATTGCTTTTTATCACTGAACACAAAACGATGGGTGCACGATACCTGCGGTGAACCTGCAGGTTATCGTTTGGCTTATTTCATTGCTTATATGTAGTGTGGGGATGGCTGCAACTCCAGTGATAAAGCTCTGATTTTTCACCTGCAGTTGGTGTTAGACCTTCTGCTGGCTTCAGAGGCAAGGTAAAATCCTTATCTATCATTCCAGCCACTTTGAGTCATGAAAGCTTTGTTTTGTATTTATATCACTGCTTTCTTTTTCTTTTTTTCCCAAAGTAGTATAACATTAGCAAACCAGTGCAATAAATATATTTGGATAACTTCCACTGATGACAATGGCACAGGTTGCCCAGAGAAGTTGTGGATGCCCCCTCCCTGGAAGTGTTCAAGGCCAGGGTGGACAGCCTGGTCTGGTGGGAGATGTCCCTGCCCATGGCAGGGGTTGGACTGGATGAGCTTTAAGGTCCCTTCCAACTCAGACCAGCCTGTGATTCTATGTTAGCAAAGTTACGAATCTAAATCTATCCATGGAACATGTACGTATTATTTTATACAAGGGAAAAATATATTCCAATTTAAAAAAAATCTTAATTTGTTGGCACTTATAATTTTTAACTTTGAAATTATTTTTATTTTAGTTTAGATATTTTTACTATAATTAAATATTTGGTTTCCAAAACTAGTGCTTTTATTTATATTTTATCTGATTCCTTCTCTGTTGTCCATTTTGATCAAGGTTGAAAGGCGTTTTGTTGTTTGGTTTTTTTTCAAAATCATAAATGGACAAATGATTACAACCCTCCAAAAAAATTAGCAAAGGTATCAGAAGTATGGGAGAGTTGCAACATAATTTTTTGAAATGCGCCTGTGTGTGTTTGCAGCCTCTGTGTTCTTGCAAAATAGATGAGAAATACCAAGTTTTTCAGCTGATGATATTGTAGTTATTTTTTTAAATAAAATAGCTCTGCAGTTTTGTCTATTTGCAGTCTGATTCAAAATTTATTAAGTGTATTAAGTTAGAAGTATTCCTGTGAACTGTGTGTGCTAAATCAAAAATACAGGAGGAGGCTTATGTGATTGCTTTTTTCCCTCTAGTCTTGTCTCAAGTAATCAACATCTCTACTGAAGGAAGTTGTTTTACTGTAGTTAGAATCCCCCTAACATAAACGGATAGCACCTTTCAGAAGCTAGAATAGGGGGTTGTTGAAAGGTAACCTTTCAGGCTTTTTTAATAATATTTTCAATAAAATTCACCAAATAAATTCCCCAGTTTCATGCCAGAGACTTCTCCCAGCCATCTGACGTGGTAATTGTGCCACATTCGTCTGACAACTTTTATCACATCCACATTGCTGTTAGTGCAAATAAAAGAACAAGAGGACAGTTTTTGAGCTAGAACACATTTGACTATTTTGTTGATTTTGTGTGATGCAGAACAGAATCCATCTCTCGCTTGCGTTGCTAGCTGTCACCTCTCCTTGGGGCTAATGGGAATAATTTTGTTTGTGCCAGTGAAGGAAGCAAATAGAACCCCTTGACACAGATCAAAGACTGTATGACTGGTTAAGAAGGCCAAAATTTTCATGTTCTTATTTATTTTACTCATTTCCCTGACACTTATGACCATGTTTTGTCCATTTACATTTGAAGAAATGCATTGCTCTGTAGCGTCCAGCAGTCACTATGCCTAAGCCCTAGGAATTTCCACTGAGCTTTCCCAAAGGCTCACAGTCCCAGCCTGGAAAAGACATGGATAAATTTGGGGTGCAGGGTTGCACAGGCAGGAGAACTCCCTGTATCTGAGCAGCCTCATGTGGGTGGATTATGTGTTATTCCCAGCGTCTGAGCGCTTTGTTGCAGTGTGCTGCCTAGCGCCCTCCTCAGCCTGGTAGGAACATCCAAGAAAAATTGTGAGAAACGTGGAAAGGTCATGGGTGTAATTCCATTTGGGTCACCGGCATTAGGATAGGGTTATCCTACTGTGTTAGTGCCTGATGGCACCGCAGTACGGTGTTAGAGTGGTTTCTGTGAACAGAGTTAATGGTTCTGGGACAGGAATATACATGCCTTTTTTTAAAGGTATCTTAACCTTGTTCCATGGCACTTTATTATGTGTATTTTCTGGTTTATGTGTTTTTCTGCCCACATTAGTTTTAAGTTTTTTGGCTTCAAATAATTGCTTAACTTCTCATGAAACATTTCAGTTGTGGCTAGTGTCTTGCTGAGAAGAGCAAGATTTTTTTTCACCCCATTTCATTGGTAGGAAGGCTGTAGGAATTGAGAAGAGCTTTAACATTAGGACAGGTTGTTGAAGGGGAAGTCATTGGTGCTCTTCTACTCTAAAGAAGGGAAAATACTATTTCTGATAATCTTTTGTGCAAAAGAACATCGAGTGCCTGTGCACTAACCTCATTTTGTGCTTATTCAGAGTGGGAAACCCAAATGGGCATTTGTAAATCTTTCTCTTTATTTCCCCAATGGCTTTGTCTTCTTGACCAAACCATGTAGGTTTCTGGGACTGATGCACAAACACATCTTAAAATCCTATGCATACTCACTAAAAGCTGCATGTTCTGCAGCTATGTCCATGCCCATCCATCTGTCCTTGAGTCAGATTTATTTCTACATGGCAAGCTCCGTGGCAGAGCTGGTGTGATTTCTGAACAGCAAGAGAAAGAGTAGTTCTTCTCACCAGTTCCTAACACAAGTGACAATGGCCAATGTGATGTATTCACTTTGATATGTGGTGGCTGTGTGACACCTAGGTAAAAAACCTGGGGGGAAAGTGGTAGGAAACCACTACCTAATATGGAGCATCTATATAACCAGATGGAGCATCACGTAACCTCTCAAAGCAGTGACCTGAGTCTTGACCCAAGCTCACCAGTGTGCAGCAAATTCTGGCAACACCAGAAAAGCTGGGACAAGTCAGCTGTGTGGATGCCAGCCAAGGTACAGCTCCAGGGGAAATCAGATCCTCTTGTCTGTAATTGCATATCTGACCTCAGGATAAATAGAAATATGTTTGCAAGAAGTGCTACTGTCAAAGTCCATGGACTTCTTGCACTTACTGATTTATAGTGTGGACTGCTGACCAAGCTGCTTGATGTAAAAGACGCTCTTACTCCACTCCGGGTAAAGATGTTGCTGCCTGTTTATGAAAGGCATAGGCTGGTCATAGGGATTCAGTTAATCTCTTAAGAAAACAAAGAGAAATCATACCTAAATTCTATTCTATCAGAATAGAAACCAGATTGCAGGTAGCTGATTGAAGTTAGCTGTGCCCGTTCATTCTGACGGATGAGGAGAGTAGAGTCCAGCTAGATGGGCATCTGCAGCAAGCAGATCATGACCTGCCCAGTGTGGGTCTGAGTTAAAGTTGAGCAGCAGAAATGTCCCTGCATATGAATGATGAACCACAGGAAACGTGATTGCAAAGACAAATACTTGTCACTGAGCTACAGAGGTGAAGGCCACCACAGGGCTCTGCAAGCATGCCTGGGAATGCTGCAGGTCTCAAACATGGCAGGCTGATCACAGCAGCTGGGGAAACCAGAAACATGTAGGAGAACCCACAGGCACAGCTACTGCAAAAACGAGCACCTTCTGTTCAGAGCTAGCAAGAGCCTCGAGATCCGTGGCTTCCAACATCTTTGTGGTAAGAAGCGAGTTGCCCCACACCTCAGATGCACAGTGGCTGTGGGGAGCTCTTGGTTGGCGTTGCAATTCAAAAGACCTTGAAATCTTCTTGTTGCAGTAAGCCAAGCGTACTTTGTGCCTCTGTCATGGAGGGGTGTCAGGCGATGCGTGTGGCAAGGCGAAATACTTTCTGGGGATAGTCTGACATCATCTCAGGCCTTGACACCTTCTCTCCCTTGTGTTTTGTTGCAAGTAGAAGCTTGACAAAAACAACACCTACTAAATAATTTTCATTTCTTCATAGCTATTGCTGTTTATAATTTGTATTAATAAGGGCAGTTCTTTGTACTGTAAACACTTGTTTTTGTCAGGTTTTGCAGTCTATCGTAAATATAACCTCATTTTTTCAACAGTAAACTCACATTTTGGTAGTTGCAGGAGCCTGTCTTCATTTTCCTGCAATGAATTTTGACACCAGTTCCACGTGCACACCATTGCAAATTCAGTGTGAAGTGACTTGCCTCCTCCATGCTGCTGACTGCATAGAGAATATTGAGAGTAATACTAAGACGTTTAATATTAACGTTAAGCTTTATTGCTTACTGCTGTCAGGCTCCCCTCGTTTCCATGTTTTCTCTAAAATAGTGCAAATAACAGAATTTGTATGCAGCTTGGGTTTGGAAAGTTCAGAGGAGAGTTTTTACCCAAAGTGTGTATTTTCAACTTAGGGATTTGGTTTCTTTTTGCAGGAGGTGTACTAGCACACACTGTGAAAGCGTTGCTGCAGAGTTAAATTTTACTTACCTTTCCTGTATCAAGAATTGTGAAATCAGCTGTATGACATGAAGAAATCAACAGACCTTTTAGGAATCCACTGTAGATACCCTTGCCTCTGAGCACATGGTAGCCTAAAGCAGAAATGGGACAACATAGCGAGGAAGAGAAGATTCTTCTTTTGATTTCTCTGCCTTCTTTTTTTAAAGTAGTGTGACTGAGAGCAGCAAAAAGGTTGAGAAAGCACATCCATCCTCCAGGTGGTTATCAATAGGATCTAAGTAGTGAATATAGAATAAAAAAACCTGTGAGTATGATAGATTTGTAAAATTGAGATTTCCCCAATGCAGTGCTCATCTATTAGGCCTCAAATGGGCACACTACACAGAAAGTATCCTCTGTGTAAATAGGAGTTGAACACAATTTCTGTACACAGATCTACAAAGACCATGATTTGTCCATAAAGGTGGTGAGATGTAGTGG